TGGAGAGCAGAGTGAGAAGCCAGAAAAGCATCTCACTTTCAAGCGGTGAGAGCGAGTACGTGGCCATGGTCTCTGGATGCAGTGAAGAACTTTTTCTTCGGCATGTTTGGTCCTTCATCAGAGGCCACACACCAAACCAGGTGTGCAGGTCAGACAGCAGCGCGGCCCGCGGAATGTGCAGCCAAGCCGGGATTGGCAGAACCCGACACCTGGATGCAGTCATGATGTGGCTGCAGCAGAAATGCCACAAGAAGGTGATCAGGGTGACAGCGATTCCGACGAGTATCAACAGCGGGGACATTGGCACCAAGGCGCTGGCGCGAGCCAGGATGAGAGGATTGATGTTCATGACGGGCATGGTCGACGACGACAACCGCGAGCTCGGGAAGGACGAGTTCCGCGACATCGAGCGCAAGATGCTGAGCGACAAGGGCGCTAAGAAGATTCTCAGCGGCTTGAAGGATGAGTGCCGCCTGGCATTGGTGGTGGCATTCGCCAACGTGATCAGGGCGAGTGGAACCAAGGAGGAGAACAAGCCCAACGGAGCGGAGAGCGACAGCTGGATGTGGCCGGTGCTAGCCATTTTGGCCGGCATAGGAGCCTTGAGTCTGGTGCAGTGGCTGTGGAGTTTCTTCATCAAGAAGATTCAGAAGGAGATCATCATCTCCGGCAAGGCAACGATTCAGGAGGCCAACGACAGCGAGCCGGAGGTGAGTGCACGTAGCGATCTGAGGAAGAGGATCAATCCGGTCCGGATGTTGCCAACAGGCAACGTGTATCACACGCACGAGAAGTGTCCCCACTAGTGGGAGACAGGTGCACAAGTGTCTCAAGTGCAGCGGATATGAAGGCAGCATGTGAGGATTGTTCTTGTGTTCAGTCATATCCGCATGCAAAGCATGATGAAAGCATGATGAACATGCACCGCAATCGGAGGCTCTAATTGCCACAGGAAAAGAGTTGCCATTCGCTCGACATGTACTGTAACTAGCAGGTGACTACAAGCAACTGGACCGCCTCTTCCCTTGGTACCGGGATGTTAACCGGCCGTTGCAAAATTACCAGTACTGCATTGAAAGCCGAAGCAGAAATCAGGCAGAACTACGAAAAAAACCAGCATCCAGGAGGCGTGAGCCTCAACAGGCGACAAAGCACCCGCCAAATGGAAGAGTGAGTAATGGATTTAAGTGAAACATAGCTGCCCACAATTTATTGCGCCAGCGCCTTTGTACGGAAATTATTTCTGAAACAAATTCATTCTCGCCCCGGAGAAGCAGGCGGAAAAGCGCGTGGACCGTACCTGACATTCATGCTGTCTCATTGCAATGACGCAGAATCGAAGGATGCTTGCTTCAGGGCCAACAACTGACAGACACGGAAGTGGAAGACGCGGAAGTGCGAGCAGATGTGGTCTAGACTGTCATGCGTTGAAACAGGTTCCAAACAACGGGAAAGAGAGATAAGGTAAGTGCCGTACATTGCAGATATATGATCAACCGAGTACTCTAAAAAACGATTGCGAAGCGTGAAGCAGAACCTTCATTTGATTGACGTCGGTTGTATCCGCTCTCCAGTGCCAAACAAATGGCTACGTGTCTATTCCTCATCCTCCGTCGGAATAATTAAGCCGGAAATGACCCCGCAGTACGTCAATGTAGCACAGAACGAAATGTCATCATCAGTAGTAACTGCACTTGTAGTATAACCAAGACGCCTGTAAATAGTAGCACACGTCAACCAAAAAGCGACCCCGCAGTACGCAAGTATACGACATGCAAGCTGTCATGCCTTTTGCGTTGTCCGATTTCTTTGCTTGATGATTGCTTCTTGTGCGGTCCGTACATACGAGTGAGTGCGGTGTTTTCTTTCCTTTGGGCACAATTCGTGTTTCAGTTGAATTCATTTTTTATTTATTTTTGCCACATCTCGGTGCTTTCATGCACTCTTCCTGAAAAGCTTTGATTCGATTTTCTGGTTGAGGCACCCGTCTCCCGGCCATCACTTTGGACCGTGATCGTGTAAAAGGCACAATTCAGTTATTTCATGTCGCTCTGTGTAATTTGAACCAAAACTGAAATCTAGTCCTACCAATGAATCAACGCATGCACAAGTTGAAAATATCATGGGTCCAACATGAGCCATTGACTCTGCGTTGGACAAAGCAGTTGTGATCATTGTTTGTGGTACGTGTCAATGAAAACATTCTTATATCACACAGCACTTTTTTCAACTGGATGTCTCACGCGTTGCCATTGATCTCGCGCTTTGCGTTTCGACTTGCAGCGTTTCACACCGACATGCATTGGATGAAACTTATGCCAGCTTGGGAGAGGCCAGGCCACGTGCACCACCAAAATGGCAAGTGCCTGCGAGTGATGCCTCACAGGGGATTGGCGCGAAACGCACGTCGCAACAATGTTGTGTCCATCATTCAACTTTTGCCCGTGCCGCACTCATCTGTGCAATCTGTTTTGCGTTGGACGACATGTGTTGCGAGTTTGCCCAAGCCCTCCCTTGCGGAAACCACGCTTTGGATCTCGCATGTGAAGGCCATGGGGCGCGCACCAGGCACTGTCGAGGATTGGGTACAATGTTGGTGCATGCTAGAGGCACCTCATGCTAGAGGCACCTAGTGTGAAGCAGTTGTGAGAATCGGCGTACCTTGAGGGCAAAAAATGATTTGGGTTGGCGACAACTTGCAACGAGAGCTTTGTCACATTAGTTAAGTGCATTCTTTGTGGCATTCATTGCGTGGCAAACCACCATAGGTTGTTTTCTTTTGCAGGACAGGCGTAGTGTGCCAACAAAAATCATTTGGCTGATTCGTGCAAGACGCTTGTGCTGAGAAACAGTTGGGACATTGCAATGATGCATTCTGAACCGAGACGCCAGGCGCAAACCGTCAGGCGTGGCAGGGTGGAGGGTTGTTTTGTTGAGCTTTTGTGAGTTCCGAGATGTATACGGCCATGTGGCCATGTAGCTGCCGGAAAATCTCCGTGAAGGGGAATGAGTGGAGTGCGCGAAACCTCCCGCTTCCGAGCTTTAGGTGCCTTGCTCCGAGCTCTTCCGACCCAAGAGCCAAGCCCGGCGGCATTTGGAGGCTGAGGCGGGTCGCATGGCCAAGCGGGCGTGGGAGGATTGGCCTCAGTCTTGATACGTGTGGGACCCCAAGTTTGAGTGAAGTGGACAGACCTTTGCGGACATAACAAGATCGGATGCCGTGGGTGAGTGTTCATTTGGCAGATGGTCTCAAACGATGCAATTGAGAAGGCTGGACAGTCCTTTCCCCTGCTAGTGACCACGTTTTCCCATTTGAACCCACAGTCGTATCGACCTCTATCAGCATCTAGTCTATGTTGTGATGCTTCATGCCAGGACATCCCGCTCCGTGCGCTGACTCCACCTCTGAGAACCGCCTGGGCATCCCAAGGTGCTTGCAGAATTTTCAAAGATGTCAGTTCTCCCTGTCGCAGACAGAACCAAGGGACATCAGACTGTCGTCTGTAGCATTTGCCGCCAATGCTTGTTTCTTTTGTGTCGTCCCATAGGTTTTTCGTGGTGAACCAGGGTTGTGGAATCAAGGGGTTTATTCCCACTTCTGTGATACAAGGGAATCTCCCCCTGATGGGGCGTTCTTTGGGAAGAGCTTTTGGCTCATTTCCCACAATGTGGCGAAGCGTACTCGTCAAAATTTTCGAGCTTCCACGGATCAGTTGCAGTCAAGTTTCCCCGCCCATGGTCCGCGAGCTGAGGCCCATGGTCCGCGTTGTGATCGCGCTCAGAGTACGGCTGCCCAGGCGCTGGGTCCGCATGGTTTGGCTTGATCCAGGATCAGTGCTTGAGGTGTGCAAATCGGCCGTTGAGGCAGGGGCAAACTTGAGTGAGACCAGCATGGCAAGGTCTTTGCAAGGTCTTTGCAATCCCAACACGTGCTGATGTTGTATTCGCGGATGCAATGTGCAACAAGCGCCATTGCAACAGCAGGGTTGAGCGAGGCTTGAGCTTGAAGGAACAAAGTTTTTTTCGGAACCTCTGATGTTTTTTTGGGGAGCCTGGAAACAGCCAGGTACAGCGACCGGGTTGTCAATAGTGTTTCGAGGTCAGGGCTTTGCGACGTTGCAGCCGGGATCATGCTCAAATCAAAGGCATGTCGGGCTTTGCAACTCAACCCAAAAGAAGCGTCTCAGCATTGGCCGTGAAAAACGATGTTCGCGCAGTCCACCATCTGCAGTTGATTGCAATCATGGCAACTGGCCAGGCACCTAGGCGGGCTGTTGCTTTTCTTGCGGGGAGGGCGGGAGACGGGGAAGGCGAGCCCCCCAAGGACTTAGCCGATTTTTCACATCTACCGGAATGAATTTTTCCTGACATGAGCTGACAATGCTTGCCGACAGCAAAACGAAAGGAGGCCCTTTGTTGGAAAAACAGGAAGTCGAAGCGTCCAACACTTCTATTCACCCTGAGAAGGCTGGGTTCCCGCCGCTCGGCTGCCAACTTGGCCGTGAGAGTCCATTTTGTTGGGACCTGGATAGCGAGAAGCCGTTGCAACCGTGTCTCGCACGTTTTGGTTTGGCGGCGGTTGCCATGTTTCCAGAAGCGATTCCGCAATGCACTGACGACACACGGGGTGCCGTTTCGGTTGAAGCAACGCTTCTTCGAGTCATCTCCCAAGCAGTGGACGCGGATGCTCCGCAGCAAAGCAGTGCAAGCTGCGTGCGTGATAGGAGACGGCCCCTGGGGGAGTGGCAGGCACGCTGGATGTTGGAGGGGTGCAGGGTAGATGGATTGATGGGTGATGGGGTCAATGTGTGTGAAGCAATGGTGGCTTGCCCGGCATTTGGTCTGCGGCATGTGTGTGCGTGTGTGTGTGTGTGTGGCTTCATGCTTCTTTCACCCCTACCCATCACTATGAGATGAATCATTCGGTAGCTCCTTTGCCCTTGAGGCGCTTGACTGAGGCGGTTGATCCCTCTTGTGGCATCAGCAAGGCGCCATCCGCGAGCCTTTTTGGACATTTGCCCGCGTAGAGCTTGGAGCCATGGCGCCGCTCTGCAAGCTGGTCATTGAGGCCAGACACTTTCAGTGCGGTCGGCACGTCGGGAGGTCTCCACCGTTTGGTCGTCAACAGTTGAACGCAGGTGAAACAACGTTGCGTGCCTGCGGAAGCGTTGTTTTCTTCCTCTTTTTCTGGGCTCGGAAGGGTCAGCTGCACGCAAGCAAGCTTGGGCCCAAGCATGTTGCTGGTGGAATGCCTCAAGATCCTGCTGCATCGTCATTTTCATATTCTCAGCAAGTGCACAACAGAGCGACCCAGCTCCGCAATGTGTCTCTCCCACAAAGTGTTAGAACGGAAACGTGCCCGGAGAGTAGGTCCCAAAGTAAAGATGACCTTTTAGCTATCCATCATGTACTCTGCGCGAATGCTATAATCTCAGCATCTCATCCGGCAGAGCCCGTTTGCTTTGCTCGTCCAGGGTAACATCGCACTGGAAAAAGGCCACTGGGTCCTCGCTCGAACATGACGGTGCCCAGCCCCAGTGGAATGACCTTGCCCCCCCCCCCAAACCCCCCCAGGAAGAAAGCAGGAGGGGCCTTTTTGTCTTGAGGTAACACACACACACATGACCGCCCTTAGAGCCCCACCCGGAGCCGGAAACAGTTGCACGATGTTTGCCTTTGGGAAACAGCGAACCATACATCCCCACCTCCCACCCCTCCCCCCAAAACCATGTGTTGCAGCCCCAGGCAACTCCTAACAATGCTATGCCCACATACAACAAATGAACAAACATATGTATATATATATATATATGGTACCCCCCCCCCCCAAAGATCGACCATTTTCTGTGTTTTATCTCTGGTGACACATCCCAGAATCTGCAAGGTCTCGGGCTTCTGGCTTCCCAACTTCATCTTGCATCTGCCTTTTGGCTGCACAGGATGAACATGTTGAAAAAATCCGAAGAAATCCAAAAAGTCAAAAAAACATCAAAGCAATCAGGGTCCTGGGAGAGAATGCCCAGGTTAGAATCTCGGAAAGTGAATAAACCTCGAAGAAATCAAACAAATCAAAATAATCAAAAAAAATCAAGGTCCCGGAGCAGAATGCCCAGACCCAGTGACTATCTCTCTCAAGGCCTTGATTTTTTGATTTTTTGATTTTCTCGAGGTTTTTCACTGTTCCAGGTCAGAATCTCGGAAAGTGAATAAACCTCGAAGAAATCAAAAAAATCTAAAAAATCAAGGTCCTGGAACAGAATGCCCAGACCCAGTGACTATCTCTCTCAAGGCCTTGATTTTATTGATTTTTTGATTTTCTCGAGGTTTTTCACTTTTCCAGATTCTGACCTGGGCATTCTCTCCCAGGACCCTTATTTTTTGTTTTTTTTGATTTCTTCGAGGTTTTTGCAGCTTCATGGGTTTCTTGCCCTTCGCCCCTGAGCATCTTCCTTGCAGTGTTGGAGCTTTGGCGTACAGAGCTGCAGTTTTGCAGCCCTGCCAAGTCTGTATTGCAACCAAGGCCTGCAGTGTTGGAACTCTTGTTGGAAATGCCTTGCTTGCCTGTAGTTTGGCAGCCTTGCCAGGGCAGCAGGGAAGCCTGCAGTGTTGAAACTTTGGCAGGTGAGGCGCTCAAGTCTTGCACTTGCCAAGTGGGTTGCAGTTTTGAGCTGGAACCCAGTTTGGCAGCTTGCTTGGGCAGTGTGCTCGAAGTGCCAGTTTGGTGGTGGAAGTCTTGTAGCAGGTGGCAAGAACCCTTGCCAGGGTATTGAAACTTGGCAGGTTGGCAGGTTGCAGTTTTTTGCAGCCTTGCCCTGCAGATTGGCAGCCTTGCTGGAAATTGTGGAATGTTGCGCTGGGCCAGCAACCAAGTTTCAAGCCTTCCTTGCAGTGTGGGAGCTTTGGCAGACAGAGCTCCCAAGTTTGTTTTGCAAACAGGCCTGTGTTGGAACTTCTGTTTGAACTCGCTTGTCTGTAGTTCAGTGTTGGTGCAGTTGGTTGCAGATTGGATTGGCAATTTTGCAACCTCCAGGTCTGTAGTTTGGCAGCCTTGCTTGGGAAGTCTTGCAGTGTTGAGTTAGCAAGAGGTTGTAGTTTGCAACCTTGCTCTGCAGTTTAGCAGACTGCTTGGCAGGCTTGAAAAGCCTTGCAGTTGGGTGTGCCTGCAGTGTTGGAGCCTTGCAGTTTGGATTTTGCAGCTTTATTTGTAGTTTGGCAGACCTTGCAGCAGTGGGAAGCCTGCAGTGTTGAAACTTTGGCAGGTTGGCAAGGTTGGCAAGGGCTGTAGTTTTGCAACCCTGCAGTGTCGGAGCCCTTGCAGGTTGGCAATTTTGCAACCTTGCCAGGGCCCTGCAGTTTAGCAGACTTTCTTGGAAAGTCTTGCAGTGTTGCAGTGTTGGAACCTTGCAGGTTGGCAATTTTGCAACCTTGCCTGTGTTGGAGCTGAAGCCCTGCCAAGTCTGTTTTGCAACCAAGGCCTGCAGTGCCTGCAGTTTAGCAGACTTGCTTTGCCAGGTCTGTAGTTTGGCAGCTTTGCTTGGGCAGTGTCTTGGAAACTCTTGAAGTTTTGAAACTTCAGGTTGCCAGGGGCTGCAGTTTTGCAAAGCCTTGCAGTGTTGCAGCCCTGGCAGGTGCGCAATTTTGCAACCGTCCTCAACAACGTCGACCCCAGCATATGCACATCTGTTTCTTGCAATAATGCACCGCATCTTTCTCAAAACGCAGAAAATGGTTGATCTTTGGGGGGGGGATAGCATATATATATATATATGTATATCCCCACCCCCTTAGGGCCCGAAAATGGGGGGAGGGGCCGTCTGAAAATGTAATTTGCCTTCCCCCCTCAAAAAACAAAAGGGCGAGGAGGGAACTGGAACCCTGTGGTAGTTGAGGTCGAATATGCCAGTAATGGATGATTGGAGGATGGATTGTCCCTGGTGGATTGTCTTGTGGATAATCCTGTAAGCGGCCTGCAATGGCTCTTTTGTCCTCACGCTCGAATGGTCGTGATTATGCAAAAGGGGCCTTGAGCCAAATGTTGCGGGAGATCAATGGTCTGGGAAACAGAACACAAAACAGACACAAATTTCTTTTGATCTCCAGCACAAAGTATGAAATACTATTGGCTTCATGGCCTTTGACCGTAGCCTTAATGTGTGCCGTAGCCATGTGATTAAAAGAGCCGGATTCATCCTTTTTCTGCTGGATGAAATGTCTTGGCCTTCGAAATGGGAAACACTATGTACGCTTCTTTTTGGAGACCTAATTGTATCAAAGGGTGATGTACAACGCTATGTACACGCGGAACAATTGTGAAACTATTGATCACTCACTCATGGTATAGTCTTGTAGACGAGGAGGATCAATCATCTGGATTGCTCGTGGTGCTGAACGTATCTTCATGGTCAGTCGGATCGACGATACCATCGGCGACTGCTGTCGGATTGACTGCCATGGTCTCCATAATCATTCCAGGTCGAACTGCTGTAGTCCTTCCACTGCTTCTGATATCCCCACTGCTTGTTGTAGTCCTTGTACTCCTGCGTGGTCCAGGATTGTCTCTTCTTGACGTAATCCTGGTATCTCTCAGAGCTGCGTGATCTGCTGCGGATGTAAACCATGAGAGGACTGTGGGAGTCGGAGTCCTGCGAGCCGTTCATGAACATTTCATTGTTCACGTGCTTGTAGCGCTCTGCGGATGAGACCTGGTAATCGAAAATGGCCTTGTTTGGATGGTTCCGCATGAATTCCAGTTGTTCATCATCCATACTGTTCATCTCGATCTTCCGGAAGTCCTGCTGGATGTTCGTTTTGCCCCATCCAAATACGATAGTCATCATCACATCTGGGAATGTTCGATCAAAACCTGATCCGCATTTCATGTACAGGTGATGACGGACAATGGATTTCAGGGTGCACGAAGTCTCCACTGTATACTCCATTCTGTCCACGAGTGGCAAATTCTTCGTCGCATTCCACAGTCTCTGATATGCTCTCATGAGGATGTTCACGAGACCGTTGGTTGGATTGTAGACATGCTGGAGCTTGCTGTAGGTGTTCGCCGATTTGTTGGCGTCTCCGGTGATCGCATCGCATCGGTACAAGGTCACGAGCGGCATGATTTCATTCTGAAGATCTCCCTTTGCTGCTCCATGGCTAAGTGAAGGATGGATGTGGAAGACTCCAATGGTTGCGAATGGTAGATCTGCCCTCGTTATGTGGCGGTCGTCATACTCGTAGTATGACTTGTCGGATGATTTCGGGATCATGCCACGCTCGATGTGGAGAACGACGATCTCCTTGTCTCGGCCATGTCCTTGGACAATGGTGCGTGCTGGCAATCTCGATCCAATGTACTTCTTGGATTCGGTAAACATGGATGTTCCTGTGGTTGCCAAGCAATCCGAGGTCAGAATTTCGTACTCGGGACCAGTGAACATTCCAAATGTTCTGGCTCCTGGTGGAAATGTGTCTTGCCAGAAGTTCCACTCTTGCAGAGGGTCCGCCGCGGACAAAGCATGCGATCGGTCTGGATGACCATTGCTTGATCACAGTGCCCTTGTAACCGTATCGGATGAACGTCTTGATGAGCTCCCTGGATTTGTCATCATTCGGACTGAAGAATGCGTCTGCCTCATTCAGGCATAGGATGTGTGCACTGTTCGGCATCATCATCTTGACGATCGGTCGATCCTTCATCGGCATGTTGTACACCTCCCTGTTGTCCAACTTTGGATTCCTTGTGAGGTTTCCATGGTTCAGGGTAAGGATGTTGATCCCTATGGATGAGGTGAACTCATGCATGTTGAGATAGTCCACGGAAGGACGGTCAGTCGGCTGCATCAGCGATCCCAGGATATCGGCATAGGCTCGGATGATTTTCGGGTCATCTTGTGACCTGAGCTTCTTCAGTCCAAGCGGCAGCTTGATCGGATATGCGGATCCTGGTTGAGCTTGCTTGTACTCGTCAATGGTCGATGAGGGAAGTAGAATTCTTCTTCACCGAGATTGACATCAAGATCGACATGTGCCAATGAGGCTCTCTCGCACTCTGTCAACTTGGGATGAGCT